ACATTGGATACAAGGTGCACATCTTATCTGTTCTTGCTATCCGTGGGAATCGAACCAGTGACTTTAGCAAGGCTCTACTGTTTGAGTGACACTGTTTAAATCTGCATTATTATTAGGTGATTGATTATATAAATAAATGATTCTAACTTATTCCAAATGATCATTTATGTGCATTGTTCAATTTGGTGTACACTGAAAAACAAATTGGCTGAGGATTTACTTACGAAAATGCTAGTGAATTTCACATTATTATAAAGAAATGGCAAGTACACTGTAAAAAAAAAATATATTTTTTGAAGTCATGAATAAAGATTACTGAAGTACATTTACAAGACAATACTATTTCAGTCTTCCTACTTAAAAAATTTTTATTCAATGGTTCCATTTCTTGCCATTTTATTTGTAATTATTTGTGAAATTCGCCAATTTCTGAGTGCAAATTGTTTTAAAGTAATTTTTTTCAGTGAACATGTTGAATTAAAGTGAAATTTTGAAGTAGAAAGAATTAATAGTATTTGCTAGTAAATCAAGCTATACAATAATTTGTTACAACTTCCAAAAAACAAAGTACAGTGTAGAGTTGCATAAAAATGCAGCTGATTAGTTTAGTCTAGATCTACAGCACATAAAGGTGTTTATTTTATGATTTTTAAAATGGCAGACTCAGCAGACCAAGCTTTCTGTGCAAATTAAGTATGCTACTAGCATTAATGATTTAAAAATAGTTTTATTGGTAACACTTTACAATAAGGTTCCATTAGTTAATGTTAGTTAATTTATTAACTAACATGAATCATGAATAGTACATTTATTACAGTATTTACTCTTTGTTAATGTAAGTTAATGAAAATACAGTCATTGATTGTTAGTTCATGTTAATTCACAGTGCATTAACTAATGCTAACAAGCACAACTTTTGATTTTAATAATGCATTAGTAAATGATGAAATTAATATGAACATGTTCACTCTTAGTTCATGTTAACTAAAGTGGTTAACTAAGTGTTACTGCTTTATTTTAATGTTGCCTTTTATTGACTGTGATTGCAGAGGGCAGATGGTGTTTCTGCAGACCTGTCCATGTGAAGGAAAGCTCGCAATGGGCCAAAATCCAAATGCAAAATATTTCCTTTGTGCAATGGCACAAACACATGCAGCAGTGGCCTGATCTGTTGACCCAACGCTCTTGGCAGTTCGAAATAAGCCAGGTAACCCGAGAAGCCTGTTTTCCCTGAGCTTTCCTCTACAGGACAGGCCTCTCGCGCTCTCTTTTCTGTTTTTCTCCCAATACTTTCACTTCTATGTCCATCACCATCTCTCTCTCCTTCTCTCTCTCATTCCTCCCTCCCTTCAGTGCTGACCTACTTTTCAACTGACCTGTTTATGCAAGCCTCTATGCGCTCCAGTCACAAAAAGGGGGACAAAGGGGAAGCTGAATCCATAGGACTGTGCTACTGTTGCCACTGCTGTTGTTTGGGGATCATTAGCTGTACCGCTGCCCCACCTCTCCACCAGCACTGCGGCAGCCATTGCAATGGTGTTTCAAAGCTCCCACAATGTTATGACACTGACTTCAAAAATAGAGGTGATTATTAATAGCATTTATGTAGTTATGAGGCTAATGGCATTGGTTGCACTGGCCTATTTCACTCAGCTCACTTTAGTGGCACGCATTTCTTTCGTTGGTTAATAAATTGGGTTAATATTTATCAACAATATTTGTTAATATTTATCAACATGATTCTTTGCAATGTAGGCTTTTATAAAACAAATAATTTGCCTGTTTTTTGAAAATAGTTTACAATTTGGGGGGGGTTGGTTTTCATATAAATTATTATATTTTTATAACCTGTATTACAATATATACTGTATACAGTACACAGCATAAATGAGTACACCCCCTCTAAATAAATAGTGTGAATTCATGCCAGCATTGATAAAGCACAACTCCCTCACACCTTCAGCACTCATTCATCCCTATATAAAAGCTTTACTACCACTGAACGTCACTGTGGGTACCAAGCACTTCTCTCTGTACTCCTCCTCTAGCAACACCAGAACATTTTGGATGCTTTTGGATCCGAAATGATTGACTTGGTCTCTTGAGACCAGAGTATGGATTGTGTAGCATCCTCCTTGTTGAAATGTAATCAGAACAAGGGCTTTGGTTTTATTCAAGCACAATGGATTCAAAGGACACAAGTCAATGAGACCTGTTCGATTTGATATTTCAGGCATTGTATGTTCGTTTCATTCAACTAAACTTAAGCAGGACTCAAGAATAAAGATGGTTGTTTGGTGGATGGATGGATGTTGATATATAGATAGATAGACATATATAGGATATATAGATGTGTATATATATATACAGTATATAGATAGATTTCATTTATATGAAATATAAGTAACTTAGTTATTGAAAACATATTTAACACATTAATAAATTTCAACACATAGTAGCAATATATTTTAGGCTTTTTTCCCGCTTTTTTTTAAATTAATCAAATAATACTTTATTTAATAATAATATTTTTTTAACTGATGCATCCAAGACTTGAAATTGCAGAAATTTGCAGCAGCATTGTTCAACACATCCCATAAAACCAAATGTTTAAGTTTGTGAAGTGCAGGACAGCAGTGGCGTGAAAGGGCCAGTGACATTTACGCCAACTGACCCAAAATGATCTCACATGGACATCAGGCCATCCTTATTGGAGAGTGGAAGAGATCTGCATAAATGTGGGGATATTTTGTTCTTGGTATGTCTAGACTTTAGACCAGGGTTGCAAAACGTCGGTCCTGGAGAGCCGCAGCCCTGCAGAGTTTAGCTTCAACCCTAATCAAACACACCTGAACACGCTAATCAAGGTCTGAAGGGTTACTAGGAAGCTACAGGCAGGTGAGTTTTAATTAGGGTTGGAGCTGAACTCTGCAGGGTTCTCTGCGGCTCTCCAGGACTGGAGTTCGCCACCCCTGCTTTAGACTCACCATGGATTTGGTTTTGGCCTACTTGTGTGGCATTAAAACTAAAAACACCTGAAAGATCTGCTGACCTGTGCATGTCCTCATCAGCAGGACATGCTGTTCCGTACATGCATATCTACACAATGAGAACCATGAAGGAACTATATAAGTAAGGGTTTAATTTGTATTCACTACTGGTAGATACAATCACAAAGAGAAAGAAACAGATTTGTATCCTGTTTGACTACATAGTTTGTGTTTGTTTATGCAGCGCTATTCTCAAATATGCACATTGTGTTCCACATATCACGTCACATAATGAGTGACTGTCAATGTGTAATGTGTACATATCAGTTCGTTGAACACGACTGCGTAGCGTGTTACTAGTTTAAGCAGTACACCGAGTAACTAGGTCAGTGTTATGTAAGTAAAGTAAGCCTGCGGTAAAGCTAGACTGATGTGTGTCAGTGTGTCAGTATCTCATGATAGGCCAGACCAAGATATTCAACACTTCTGCCATTTCGCAATGTTAAACCAGACGATATAGGCTGTTTATTCTTGCCTTTGTTCACTAATCTCTTTCAGCTTGAGTGAAATTCTTTTTAGACAGCAGTCAAAACTTCTTCAAACATACTGAAAGATTCACAATTATGTAATCTGATGTCAATAAATTTGATTCGATAAGGCTATAATTGCATGTTGTGAAATCTAATTACATAACTGTGGTATATAATTACATAGGTGGATGAAGTATTAAAAAAAGATGAATGCATGAATAATGCAACAACTTTTATTTTTATTTTTTTGTTGAATTTTTGAAATGCACCCAAACCTAGCACTGAATATTAGTGTTTTTTACAATATGCATCTATTTCAAAACAGAGCAACAGAACAGCAGTGCCACGGTCTACTCAATAACACTAAACAAGCCTTGCTTGTTGTTTGTTTTTTTCCACTTTCATTTTTGATAAAACCATAAGAAAATAAAAACATCAAACATCACTCAGTTTAAAACACACTGAAAGGACGAAAGAGGATAGGTGACATTGTGGTGAGCAATTACGAAATCACAGTAAACTGGAAGTAAAGATGCAGCTAGTGATAAACAGGACAACACTTGGCCCCCAAAACAGTTCACAATACAGTGTAAAAATATTTTACATTTATACACAAGTGCCATAAGTTAACGTGACATGTAGACTTATTTTTAAAAATACAAAAGGGGGGTTTGTGAGTAAATTTACAAGCATTCTTTGAAAAGTTAAAAACAAACAAACAAGAAAACCTGCAACTTTAATTAAACCTCATTTTAGCAGGGAAACATATGCAGAGTAGCGGCTGACTAGCGAGGAGCCAGCCAACCAGTTAAAGATTGAAAAAACTGCAGCATCAGTTAGCTGAATCGCTTAACTAGGGGCCTCAAGGGCAAATGGACACTATGCTAGTTATCATCCATTTATACTGATGTAAGCAGGGTGGAGCTTTCCTGTAAACCCCATGCTAATAAGATCAAAACATTCCTTTCACATTCATAACCAGAGAGGAAGAGAGAGTCATTTTGCATTAAGTCTAGAATATTTTTTCTGTTCTTTCTGTAACGGGTTACGAAGAAAATCAATGTTTTTACATCAGTTGGTGTATAAGAAAAACTATAAACATGGAGGCTACATAAAAGGGAAGCTAGATATGTACTTTTAGGGTAGGTTTAAAATTTTAAACTATCGGGAAAAGACATTTTACGCTAAACGCCAAGTAGTGTTTCAAGACCAGACAATGAGTTCTAACTGCAATGAGAACACATTTTAGTATCTATGACATGAAGCTTACATCAACCCGCTAATGTATCTGTAAAGGCTTTGGGGCATTTTGAAATTTTCCTATAAAAGGACAGTTTCTAAAAAAATATTTAATTGCAAATTGTTAAAGTAAAAAAAAAAAACGTTTATATTAAGTGTCATCTCAAACAACAAACACTGATATTGTACAGTATTTTTGACAAGGACCAAATCATTAGTCACATAACTCCCTATTTTTTTCATGTAAACTTTTTGTTTTCTTCTTAAAATATATTCATATATAATATTTACATCACATTTTATACACACAAACCAGGTGCCTGATCAAGGAGGAGTGGTAGCTAGGCTGTTTAATGTGGGAAAAGTGATGGGGAGCACTAGTTAGAAAAGCAGATAGAGGTAGGGAGCAGAGAGAGGTATGAACTTAAATCCATGTTTCTTTGGTCAAGGGAAATATTCCCTGAATCTTCTGGTGTTTGGTATGTTTAAATGTGGTGCATAGCCACCTGCAAATGTTCTGTTGTTAAGGTGTGGCCAAAAACTAAAAAAGGGGCACTTGAAGTTGTCTATTTACAAATATGAATCCATTACCATGCCTCACATATGGTAGATATTGCTTTTGAATTGAATATACACTTTGACATCTTGTTGCAGCATGGGAACTATGGGTAATGTGATCAACAGCATGTCATCCTATTTCATTCTGTTATAAAAGTACTGCTGTAACCTTAAGAGGAGGTTAAACAAACAAACCTAACCAACAAAAGGTAAGTATATACATTATAGTACAATGCAAATACAATGCAGCAGTCCTGACGATATCCACTTCTCTTATCCCTTGGCATTTGCACAGGGAATGGGTGAAGGGTACAAGATCAAGGTAGGACCTCAAGATGGGCTTATAAAAAGTCTCTTGGGGCTTTATATCAAGACCCAAGTGAGTCCCACAGTTTTACGTTCAGTCATGTCTCTTGTTGCGACTGTTACGCATACTGGATTCCTTCTTCCCACATTCAATGCTTCCAGCCGAGGTGTCCTGCTTGCAAAACCCTGGACTCGACTGACCGCCAGGTTGAGACAAGGCCAGGTAAGGATGCTGAGGTAATGGCTGGAAGTTAGCAGGTGGCGTCATTGGCGAGTCTTGAGATGATGCTCTGCCGTTGCTCTGAGCTCTGTGCTTGAGTCTCAATTTGTGGGGTAGGGCAGTGCCTTTGATTTCTGCTTGGCCGTCTTTGCATTGGCTTAGAGAGAAGGAGCTCTGGGTCACGAATATGTGAGGGTGGTAGCTGCCTGTATCGGAGCAAGATGAAGAGGGAGACTCATCATCGGTGGAGCCCTCTTTATCAGAGCTGCGGGGATCCCCGTCACTTGAGGAAGTGTCCTTTCCTGAGTGAGCCTCGTAGTACTCTTCGTGTCTCAAGCTTCCTTCGTAGGTCAGCACTGGTGGATCGTCATTCTCCAAGGTGCCATTAGAACAGTGGTACATCTGTGTTTCATCTCCCTCCTCTGGTCTCATTAGAAGATCTGGGGCAGCAGCATCAACCCTGGGGGTCTGTCGCTGAGCAATGTAAGCTTGCCTTTCGGCTGCTTCCCCATCTGGGTAGTCATAAGGTGGAGAGTCCAAAGTTTTTCTCTCTAGCCGTTTAGACACCTCTGCCAAGCTTTTCGGACTTCCAGTTGGTCCCTCTGTAGGCTGAGTGAGGTTCTGCTGTTCATTAGGAATCATTTCCTGAGTTTCCACAGGATACGAGGCACTGCTTGAACGGTATAGGATAACACTTCTTTGAGCGGATTGTGGGATGACTGGACTTGCAGTGGTCTCGTGGCGTCGTTGCTTCTGTTGGTTGGCTGAATAACCTTCAAAAGTGTGCTGGTGAAGTACTGCAGGCAATCTAGAATGAATGTTTAACATGAACTGTCTGGTAGTGCTATTGACAATGTCCATATCCAGACCCATCCCTTCCTGCTTGATGTCATACACCAATGGCTCTGGGCTGTCCCGAGAGGAGTCATCAGACATATCAGAGAGGGAACCTCGCGGGGAGTACTTTGCCAATTTCACATGCCCATCCCCTCGAACAGACTGCTCCGTTTCAGAAGAATCAGAGTTTATCATCATCTGAGAAACACTGGAGTAATCATTAGGGTAGAAGAGACTGGTGGTAGAGGAAGGTGTAGAGTTTCCCCCAGAAGTTCCATTGACTGCTCCACCAATCTGCTGACTCTTTTCCATGTAGGAGGCTGTACTTATCAGACCAAATCTGAGCTTAAGCTGTAAAAGCTCAGTTTTCAGGCGTACATTCTCATCATTCAGCGCCATAACTCTGTTCTCTAGGATCATGTCATTAAAGCGTCGTTTCTCCCGGGAACGCTTTGCTGCCTCGTTGTTCTTGCGTCGCTTTTCCCAGTAGGATGCATCCTTTTTCTCATCTGAGATGAACTCACGCTTGCGTCGACAGCTCATGTTTGGCTTTGGTTTGAGAAGGCGGCTCTGGCGAATGTTGCTTTGAGGTGAATGGACAAGATCACTGTAGTCCAGAATGCTTTCTGTGTTCTTTAAGGTTTTGCTTGCACTGGAATTTGTTGAGATTTGTAAGCTCAAACTTTCCATTGCTCCTCAATGGGAGCCAGTTTGGGACCTTGGCTTCACCACTGGTAATGGAAATAAATGAAGAAACGGATGGGGTAAAGGGTGTAAAGGTGGCTACGGGAATTCCTGTAGGATATCCCAACAAACAGTGGACTGGAGAATCTTCAACTAAGTAGCTGGATCAGCAAAGACTTTGAGATATTTTAGTTTCTGGAAAACTGAACCTCATTGATTTTGCTGATGTGAAGCTCAAGCAAATATCCCTAGATGATCAAGTGTCCAGGTCGGCTAAGAAGAGCAAGAACAGTTGCACCTCTTTATGAGTCTCCTGCTTTTAACAAACCCGTAGAATTCCTCAATGAGTAAACTCTTCCGGCTGTCTTGCGCACAATGTCTGTCAAAGCCAAACCGGGGAATGAAAGAGGGGCAATAAAGTCCTGAAGTACAGAAAATGTGACCAAATTTGTTTAAAGGATTCTGACCCCTTTTCTTTGTTTTCACTTTTATTCGTTTATGTAACGGCTCTATCAAGCCGACAGAGATGTGTCCCAGTGCCTTGGGCGTGTTGGAGGATATAGGTCACTCGGTCTGCCCTAGCTTGTCAGCCTCTTGGGGAGGGGTGCTGCTGCTCCCAAAGCCTCCAGCTGGCTGTTTGATGAAAGGCTGGAAACATAAAAGAGAAAAGAGACAGATTTGTTAATCCTCGAAAGCTAAAGCAATTCACAGTTTGCCTTTAGGCACTTCAAAGAAATCTTTTAATTTATTGTGCTTTTTCATTTTTAATGAAACTCTCCATGCTTCTCTGCATGGCTGGGTAATCAGAAGATTTAGAAGTGGAATGTTCAACCGTGTCTTTGTCGTATCCTCTTGCTTCATCTACTCAACCCTGACAACCACAGAATGTTTTCTGTTGCCCGGCAACCACCGTCTGACCTGCTAACCCTGCTATTGATTTGTCTGTCTGCGACCCTTGACCTTTAGCCTCTGGCTAGACATTAGACTCTCATGATGCAAAGGGAAAGAGGTTCAGAACGCTGTCAACGATTACCCAAGCTGCACATTTTCTTTGTCAGAGGACCTACAGCTAAACAGAAATGATCTAAAATTAGTTTCCTCATTCTGACACAAGTAACATCACCCTTTGTACAAAATTCAGTCAAGACTGTTCTGTAAACGGGACTACACATATGGTAAACATTAGCAACGAACACATGATTTGTTTTAACATTTTGAAACCTTATCCTGTATTACATCATCTGCTCTGAGGGAACCAGTGCAAGAGGTTTCGGCTTTTGATACATTAACATCAAATGTTACAACACATCTCCTCTTTGGCTGCACAGTCCAAACGGTCTGATGCCCCAAATATGCAATGGGGCCCGAACTAAATTCAAAAACATTAACGCTTCATTTTTTATGACTATTCACTAAGGCTTTCAATGAGAACTTTCGAAAGAAGCATGCTTTAGATGAAAAATGAGGAGAAGCCAAAAAAACCTCATAACAATAATTACTATAATGGCAGATAAACCGAGGTCAGGCAAAAGGCAAGTCTGATTGAGAGCTTTGCAATATAGGTCAAGCATATCTGGAAAAAGGGGAGAAGGGGAACATTCCATCAACATGAGTTCAGATCCAGGGGTGGTGACTGTTTCAGCCATTAAAAATGAGCACTAATGGAAAAGCAGAGTCGCCAGTGATGATTAACTCCGCAGCCAGTGGGCAATTCCACATTGCTCTGATCCCATCATAACCTAAACTGAGCACCAACTTCCTATTTCAATGCCATGGTGTTGTTCAGCTAAAGGTGCCTGATTTCCTTTTTTTCTACTTGCACACAAATTTGAATATAATATCCGATATGCATAATATATAATATCAAATATCTGGTTAATATTTTCAGTCAATCCCAAAAGCTAGTAGGTAGACACAGATGGGATCCCAGTAATATTAAGTCATAAATCTACTTTGATCATCTCTAATATTTAATATTTGTTCTCTGACAATACAAGAATAAATATACAGTGAACTATCACAAAGTTTAGTTTACACTGAGAGTAAAAGCATTCACTATTTATAATGAGAGCAACAGTAAAAGAGACTCTTAAGTCTCTTAGACTATACTTGCGTATCTAAAACAGCGCCATGACTCTGTAGCATTAAGTATGACATCTGCATCAGAAATTAGGCAGATGAACGCAGTGTAATCCCATGATCTGGCCGCCCTTTTTATGGGTTATGTTCTTCTCATCCCAGACATCTGAGGCAGCATTACGTAACTACAGACAGCTTAAGCCTCTTCTGATGGCTTCAATCAACACTTTCTGCTTTAGTCTGGTAACGCATAGGAATTAATATGGCCAAAACTGACATTTTCCTCCCTTAATTAGTGGATGCTATGAATGGAATAAGTCAATAAAGTACAATTTTAATGAAATGCAAATAATGTTTAAATGGGTAAACAGGGAGAATCAACGGTCATTTCAGTGAGGCACAAAACTAAAAGAGACTCCCTGAATGACCCACTGACCTAGAAACTGGGCCACTAGCAAGGAAAAAAAAAACTTTTTTCCCTTGTGCTCAAATATAGGTCAGGAGTGCAACAGGCATCACGAGAAAGAGAGATAGAGGCAGAAAGGGCAAGGGAATTAAAGTGTTTGCTAAGAATAGACAGGTGAGGGATAGATTGAGGATAAACGGAATGAAGAAGGGTAAAAAAAGAGAATGCAGGGAAAAGCAGTTGCAGTCAATTTGTTGAACGCCAGCTACACAAACAGAGGAGCTTTCCAAGACACCCTAACAAAAAAAAAACAAAAAAAGGATCAGCACCAATTTCCCAATTATCTGATTTTAACAAATGTATTATTAATACTGGCATAGTATTCAGAGTTATCCTAGGGTTTACTGTCGAATTTGTGAACAAATCGCTTGATTTAGTTCTTTTTAGTGATTCATTCAAACCATCTGCTGAATCAGACTGATTTCAACACAGGATTGTTGGAGTGAATCAATCAGACTCAAACTCCATTTTCTCAATGAATAATTTCAGATTATTCACAAATGCCAATCATTATTATCGACTTAATACAGTTTTAAAAAACAAAATATAAAATTCAAATTATTATAAATGCAAATACAGTGTCTCTTTTATTTAATCTCTTCCTTTTATAATGGAGGAAAGGGAAGAGGCTATTAATAAAAATAGTTGGATGAGTTATTTAGCCTGTCAACCACACCCATGAGTCATTAAAAATGCATTTATCTCTCCTAGCATTAGCAACAATGCAACTAATTATCAAATCTTAAGCATCGAGACACCAACAGCCAAACCATCTTAAATAATCTGACATGACACACCTGTGTCTTTATTCAATGCTGCTATTGATTATCATGTGGCACATGGATTAAAGAATTAATACTTTGACCTGCAATTAGCAAAGCTTAAAATTGTTATGAGACAATAAAGCCCAATTTCACTTGCCCTATATATAGGATATGGGTTATAGCCTATTTGTGCATGTGAGCTTTCATTGGGGAAGAAATAGCATGTCTGTCCCACTATAGTCTTAACTTGGGCGAGGCCTGGAAACTATAATTCAGCTCAAATGTTTCATGTGTTGCTTTACAGCCGTTTTGGTAATGGAAATAATGGGTGAAGGCGGGGGTGTTGGATTTCATTGTGGCCATTTAATTGCCCCTGGGGCAGAATGTAATATTCGGCCCGTGGGTTAGGATCTCTTTTTTTTTTTTTTCCACGCCTGGGTTTATCTCCTCCAGTAGGAGGAGGGCAGGCCTTGGACAAGCAGGAGGAGTTCCAGGCCAACTCTTTTTTTTTATAAACACACTCATATCATCCTCTATTGAAAAAAAATAAATGCTTTGACCAAGTCCATGTGTTTCACCAGTCACATGTGCTCTCTTGCCCTACAAAACTAAACGGTAATTAGCCTCTCCCTGTTAGCCACATCGCCAAAATAACGATGCGCCTCCTCCCTTTCTCTTTCACTATGAGAAATCTTAAGAAATCCACCAACTGAATTAATGTTTATTGCTTAAAGAGTCACAATTAACACTGTAAACCAATAATGACATTGCACTTAAGTGTTTTTGTTATCTATTAACAAAGATTCATCTCCACAATTTAACATTCAAAGAGCTGGCACTACTAATGTGTTCTTTGTTTTTTTAGCATTGTTGCTGAAACGGGTCCCAATTTGCAAGATTTTGTTGTAAACTGGCAGAATCTTTGTTCTTTTTTGGTAGACTAGAGGGTGTGTTTTCTTCAGGCTTATGACCTACATTCTGCACTGGCACACAAAGCTGTTTGTCTGATGCCTTAAAGATCCCGCATTTTATTTTATTTTTTCCATTTGCCACTTCTCATTTCTCACCGTTATGTAACTCTTAACACAGAAAGACTGCATAAAGTCAAAAGAAAACTGCAAGTTGACAAGCAATCTCACATCCACAAATTTTAGCCTGATCATGCATGCATGTATGACTTTTCTGTGGAATCCTACAGTGCATGTTTGCTTACTACATAATACACTTTTTTTGAACCTAAAATCTGTAATCTAAAATCTTATGATCTGAAACATACTATTATTAGCACACTACACCGTGTGTCATAAGGGCATACAACTGTAACTTAAAAACACAGTGATTACAACACATGTGAATTGTACTGTATAAACACGTAATCAAAGATGAGCTCAATAAATCAGTTTACAACCATCTGCCGGGAAGTTCCGGAGAATAACAATGCAAAGATAACTGACAATCATTATATACACAAATAGCATGCAAATTTGAGGGATCTGACCAACATCATTAGGATACAAAATTAAATACAATAGTAACTAAAGTTAAAAGTGCGCTGAATAATAACGATCGTTTACTAGTTTCATTCAGTATCTGATAAGTACTGTAATTATTTATTCACTGCATTCACAGTTATTTGCGTTTCGCGAGGCAAACTGGCAGAAATCCCACTGAATAATTCGCACACTGTGTACCAAGATAAAATATTGATGGATATCAATAACTTAAACGAGCATCTATTTGAGCACGCACTGCATGTTGCTAGACAATTGCATTTTACATGCAACAGAGTTACATTTGATTGCCAGTCGGTTTGTTCGCGTCTGTATACCAGCAAGGAGTTAACGGGTCCGAGCCTTCAAACGTAAACACCCGCGTCAACCTTTACCGAGCACGGTTACACGTGACAGCGAGAAGTGTGTCCGGGATTTTTCCTTCCAAGCTGCCGCATTAACTTCATAATCCAATTGGATTTCACGCTTTTTGAAAACTTTAATTAAAACGTCATTGGCAAACATTAAGCAGTAACCTTTTATCAAGACATTTCCAGCGATATAATGTAATAATGTTTGCTAGTGTTTTAATCAAAATCGTAACAAGTGCTACGCCCGACTGGACTTTCTGTAACTCCGTTTCATGTTTATTAATGTACTGACTAATCTTCAAATGGCGCAATATTATATCATTAGGCTACTAAATGTAAACAACATAGGCTACGTCAGATATGCATACAGAACATTTTTGTGCATGGTAAATTAATTTGTATAGAAGCATAAAAATATTTTACGTGCATCAAGTGCTAAATGTCCTGTCATCAGTCGCGAGGGTTCCTGGCCTCGCCTTAATATTGCGAACATGCACATTGAGCATTATCCGAATCTGTAATGAGCATGCGTAAACACACAAAAATAAACTAAACCCTTATCCGTGAATGAACAGAAGCCGTTGCATTTCAAATAGGCTATCATTCTTGGATTAATTGCAGTCACCTCATTTCATAACCGCGTAAAAAAATTCCGCAAGATCACGCCAGAAACACAAGCATCCCCAATGCAGTTGTATTAGTGTGAGCGTGCATCAATAAGCAATTAAGCAAACATACCGATTGTGGCTTTTGTGCTTGTATCTAAAATATCTTCAGTCGCCCGACGACTATAATTAGTCTCTTTGTATCAGCCTCGGTGGCTTGAATAAAAAGGCGAAGTGATCCACACACACTACACGCCGTGTCCAGACCGCATGGATTCCGCAGCCCGTGTGTTTTTGCCCTGGCTCCTTGTGTTGTGTTGGCGAGGCGCTCCAGTATCCTGCCGCTAGCTGCTTCTGTTTAGAAATGTATGTTAGTAGGTCAGCGGTTGCATAACAGGACGTTTCGGGTGCCTCGTCACGTTTTGTTTTTCTTTTTGCCCCCACCTACCTCCCTCCCGCTGTCCCGCTCTCCCTCCCTTATCCGAAAGCCTGTGGCGACGCGAGCGCATAAGTGGGAGGGATCAGGCAGTCGGCCAGACCTACTCCTAGATGAAGGACGGTCATATTCATAATAAGGCTGACATGGTGAAAACAAGTAGATGTTAAGGTTACATGTGCATTATGATATGCCTATTCAAAGTGTATTCGGTAATTGCATGTAACACTCTCCTTCTCAGTTTTTAATTATTTCCCCCTCCAGATTAAAAAAAAAAGTGGTTTATAAACAAATGCAAGAATAAACAAGTGCCTTGTGAAGGCCTTGACCACATTTTCCATGTAAACTGATGTTTTTGCCAGCTGATTTTATTTTGTTTTATGTCTGAGTGAATCCCAGTGACAGTATTTAAGGATAAGTTACTTGTACAGGACTGTCTCAGTCATATTTCACCCCCATTATTTTAAACAAAGGAAAATAAAATCCATTTAGACGAGCATTAAGATACTTTGCATCACTATTTTTCGGACAATAAAGTACATTTACCCCCAGTTATTACTTATAATTACTGAAATGCATCTTGACATTTTACTTTTGCATTTTACTACGTATTGACATTATTCTTTTTACTGTGTTTAGGAAACTATATATAGGATTTTATTTTCATTTTTTTTCAATGATGATTAAAATTACTGTAATACCATGATTATAGCAATAAATCAATACTTTTTAAAAAATATTTTTAAATTATTTTTTAAATTCAACCGAATAAAAAAAATCAGGCAATCTAGCAAATAGTACTTTACAGATATTTTAACATTATGGTAATGAGAATATCATTATTATTATTATTATTATTATTGATAATAATAATAATAATAGGCCCTATGATAATAAAACCTTGACCAACTTACCTTGATGATCCTAAATAAATATTTAAAACTATTTATTTTGTTTTGTTTTGTTTTATTTTACAGTGAAATATGACCTGGGCATTTTCTTGACAGCTTTTGTGAGAATTTTTCACCTAATTTATTTTTTCTCATTTAAATTAAGAAAACAACATGTCTCCCTTTCCTTACTGATTGAAGTCACAGACACAATAGAATTGTGAAGATGACCTTGAACTTAGATG